AATAAATTTGTATAAATAAGTGTGTACTTGCAATTTCTTTAATGCTGGATTCTTGTTTAATTTTGACAGTGAGTTTGTCCCATTTGTTATCAATAAATAAAATTTACTAAAAAATACTGGATTTCTTTGAGATAATCAACTAATTCAATCTATTATGTTACATTCTAGTATAATTTTGTAGTTTTCTTGTGATGATCTTTAACAGGAAGAACAAAACCAACTGTATCAATACAGTCAAAGTAAAACACAACATTACTAATGTTCTTTTATTGTGATGAAAACAAAATGAAAATGCTTCTTAACAAGTATACACAAATCTCAAAGATAGTTGCCGTTTTTCTTATGATAATTAGATATAAATATCATACCTTTATAAATTTATAAACACTGTAAACTCTATTTGTTATATATATATATATATATATATATATATATATATTATATATATATATATATATATATATATATATATATAGCAGCTAGAAAAATATCACATTAAATACTATTATCGCATATCACCAAGTCCAAATGAACAACTACACGATTTTGAATTTCTTGATTTATTTTTTCAGCAACAACTGAATCTATTTCAGATATTTAAGCAAGAAAGTTTTCTCTTTGGTCAGCAGCCCAATGTATAAACTATTCTTTGAATAATTTCAATAAATCAATCATCCTATAAAGTAAGATAAACAATCTATAGTTATGCTATGTAATGTTTGCTGCATTGAATCTGCATATGTAAAGTAAAAATATCCATTTTTTTTTCTTTTCTTCCCTTTGCATGTTCTTATATCTGTTGAACCAAAATACTTGACAACATTCCAGTAGAGTATACAAATAAAAACTTAAAACTTAATATTTAATAGTAACAATAATATACCTGATTATAAAAATGAAATCTATAAAATGTTTTAGTTAATTTTACTATATAATTGTAGCTAACCCATATTTACATACCAATATTTGTACTTACTTCAAATTGATTTGCTTCAACAATTTATATAATAATGAACGACACATATTTTGGAAGATCTGAGCGGTTGTCAATTTCACTTAAAATTTTACCTAAATGAGCATTTCATTCTTGAAAAAAAAGCTGTGTACTATCTGTCGTATAGATGTTTTAACTCTTTCATCCTATGTTGCAAGAATATAAGGTCAACCTTCAATATTTTTAGGACATTTTACTGCTCCAGTCTGCTTATATACTTTAATTGTTCTAAATTCTATTGTTGTAAATAGTTGAATTCGCAACACCTAAAATTAGCACATTACTTTAGTAAGTCTTGATTTTAATAATAACTATTCTGTAAAACTAACCTGCTGCCTGTTTTATTTTTACTACCGTGGCTGTTATTTTTATTCCAGAATTATCAATTTTGATGTTTGTACATGTTTATAGTACATTATTTCTCATTTGATGATAAATGATCCAAATCTACTCGGCGTTTTTAAGGTGGAGAAGAATAATTACCACTAGTACTTGGCATTGAATCCATACTGTTATCTTAATAACACTAATATGTCGCTAAATAGTTCTGAAAAGAACTGTTTTTTATATAAATGCAAACGAAAAATCTAAAGATGTAAGAAATAACACAGAAAATACAGAAGATTGTCGATATAAATTTTGAATTTTAAAATTTCACAAATGTCATTAGTGTCAATATGTCATAATTTAGTGGAGTAAACTTGCCTGCGCCTCGACCAATTACAAACAAGCATTATGGCGCGGAAAATTTGAATTACTCCTCCTGGTTTAAAAACAGACCATAGTGGTCTGTGGTCTGACATTATATTATATTTATTATGAGAGACAAATAATAAAATAAACAAACAAACAGTTAATTACATAATATGAATCCATAAATTGTAATAATTATGGTGTAAATTTTTGATATTTTGAATTTTATACTTAACTTTTATACTTAATACCTCCTACTTAATACTTAAGAGTATATAAATGATAGTTTTTATATGAAATAGGGTGGTTGCTATTGAACATAGATAAATAATATAATAGTAGAAATAGATATAATGTAGACAAGTCAATGTATAAATTTCGGTCATTAGGACCCCTTGCGGCTGGGGTCAATACTAATCATCTTTTGGTGGCAAATTCGAATGGACACCCCTTACATACATCAATGACGTATAATATATAGACTACGCAGTCCCCTATTCTCGCTATAGAATCGAGTGTCCGAAAGATCTCGGCTCAAGGTTGAAGGTATGTTTATTAGAACAGCGGCGTGTTCATTTATATTTTAATGACAATAATTATTTTTTTAATTAAAATTAAATATTTATGATTTCTTTTTGTCCCATCTATAAGAGAAATAATTATTTTGATAAAATAGTATGACATTTTACTAAAATAGTAAGTAAATAACTCTCAACAATTTAAAATAAAATTTGCTTGTCACACAAAATGGAGAAAATACTTTCATACGTCCATGATGTTTTCAAACACAAGATCAACTTCGTGATGCTTCGTAAGAAATCATGAACTTCGTGCATCTTCGTATCAAAACAATAAACAATAACAAAGGTATTCATGTTTTGGACACTTTTTAAAGCGTTCACCGAGTCTATATATTATACGTCATTGACATACATACTCTTTAGCGCCTCTTGCGGGCTGTTTCGTTACTAATTAAAATTTACTGGAAAATAAGGATATATAAAAAATGCACAATTTTTCTAGATATACGTATATTTATTTGTTGTTTAAGATAAAACAGTTATTAAACTAATTACATAATATTATTTACGCATATTTTCAGAAACAAATGTTAAATACTATTATTGTTTGCTTCCTGACAACTTACTATCATCATCCTATTTGTATTTTTTTCGTGATTTGTACCACAAATCACTGGTCTGTGCATAGCAGAGAGTGCATAGTCACGTAGGTACTTGGTTATATGTTTGCTAATTCACAAAATGCATTTCCAAACTTTTCTCATATTCTCGTCCAGCGGAAACTTATGTATGGATTTTTTTTGTGAATTATAATAGGATAAACATTGAGGAACACTCATGACACTATAACAAAACAAGATATGCTCACATGCTGTTCTAATTTTAATTGACTTTGTGCATGTCGTCATAGCGAGACTAAGCCAGGGGTTGTATACTAATTTCCACTTTCCAGTACCACAGAATAATAAACAATCAGAATGCCCATCCTCCATGGAAAATCAAGTACGCGCAGACGTTCCGCCATGTTTTAAAGGGAACCAGTGGTATTTATGTGGTGTGCATAGAAAAATTAACCCGGTTTAATTGACTTACGGCAATCATAGACATACCATACAATTATATTAACATTGTTTAATATAATAACATAAATATAATAGAATTAAACATAAATATAAAGAATTACATACCCTCACAAATCATATGTCTGTTATGTGTTTCCTTCTAAAACATGGCGCGCGTGCTGAAAAACTTTAAAGGCGGCATCTGAGAGTAGGCATTCTGATTGTTTATTATTCTGTGCCAGTAACTTCTAGCACAGAATAATAAATAATTGTTTATTATTCTGTGCTTCTAGTCTCTCAAAAAGTAACATTGCAAAAAAACATAGCAAAAAAATAATTACTATAAATTATTATAAAATGTACACTCGACAGTTAGACCACATTTGACTTTTGACTGGCAGCGAACCGTTGATTAAAATGATTAAAATCATGGTACAAAGAATAACAGGTATGATACTCCCGAGAGAGAAATTGGGATGAGTTCGGGCATTACGTCACAATGAGAGTGATTTTAAATATGTCCCGTAAGAACGTTAGCAATCAGAACATAATTAATTTTTAATTGGCAATAAAAAGTCATTTTAATGGATTAATAGAGTTTCTATTGAACTATTCCAGATTTATTAAAATATAGGTGTTTTATTATTTTGATTAAAAAAAAATAATACAGTGAAAAAAAAAAAAAATAAATCTGTAAAATAAATTTGTGAGTTTTTTTGTTTTTCGCTTTTTAATCCTAGAAAGGTAATCTTCGTAAATTTTACGAGCTAGCTTTTGATTGTATTGTCTTATTTGGCGCTAGTATCGACGAGAAAAAAGTCTTCGTCTAAACGTAAACAGAAGAAAATAATTTATCATTAATTATCTGCACTAAAATCGGAAAACAAATCAAACACAAGGTTTTAAGTTAATTTTCTCTTATTTCTTATGTCTTCTTTAAGTTTTAGGTTTAATTTCTTAATTCTGAAGTCCAGATTGCTTTTTGTTTGTGGTAGATGAAGAGAAGGAAACCGCATCACCCTTCAGTTTAGGTTCTTTCTTTGATTCAAATTTCTTTTAAAGTCTTCCGGCTTAAAGTGTTTGGAACAAATCCTTGAGGTTTTAGTATTCAATTTGTCTTTACAGCAACAAGCAATCCCCCACAATTTTTCCACTACCGAGTCCTTGGGAAAACTATAAAACCTAACAGATTTACTGGCACCTTTTGTCTGATTATCACTTAAACAACTAGCTACAGCACAACGCTTTTTATGGTTACGTTGTAAACTATTCCTAGCAAAACCCCTCTAAAAAATACAAGATGGGTATAAGTATGGTTAAGTATTAAATACTGACTCAATAATAATTAAACATACCTTATTTACAATTTCTAAAAGACCAAAATGATGTCCATATAAAGTATACCTACACAGCCACTATCACTCATAGTGATAGTGGCAAACTCGCATAGAGAGTTGAATATATTCTTATTAATAATTCTTTTTTACTAAAATGCCTACAAATCAACTTAATAACTCTCACAAAAACACTATAAAATCTTTTACAAGCTTATTAAAGACGTCAAAAGTTAAAACATTGATAAAATTCCCGTTATAAACAAATGTATTACAATGACGGCAACTCTCATTACTACGTCGACAGTAAAGGGAGTGGCCTGCGCAATATCATACCTGTTATTACTTATAGCATGGATTAAAATGTACGTCAAGTGTCATTCTGTCAATTCTTATTGTTTCAAGATTCAATCAAGTCAAGGGTATAAAAGTATAAACAAAGAATAATAATATAGAGAATAATAATATAGAATTTTCTAATTATTATATTATTGATCTATGGTTAGAATAATATAGAAATAGAATAGATAGACGTCTATATTCTTTGATATAAACAACACATTTTAAAATGCAAAATACATAAAAAGGAACTTACCATGTAAACATTATTGTACATTAATCAGTAGGTGAAGTAGAATTCATTGATTTAAATTATTAAATTCAAAGTCTGTAGAAGTCCTACGCCCTACCATCTCACAGTACTAGTTTATTAGCTATGGAAGTAAAAGTTGAAATTAAGGAAGAGTTTGATGAATGTGACCAAATGTACATAAATAATCAGCTATCCACATCTATAGATCTTCGAGACTTAAAGAATGAACCAGGCGAAGATAACTCGGGTGAGAATAAAAATAAATAGGATAAACTTTTCATATTATGAAGTATAAACAATGTCCAATGTAATTTTATTACTCTAACCTGCAAATGAATGCTAAATTTTCCATAATTTTGATATCATATTGCACCAATATTGAAGTATGCCTCATATTCAAGGTTCTGTGTAAAGTTTATAATTATGTTTTAGTAAATTTAAGAAAATAGGTTCCAAGCCTGTTTTTCTGTGTATTTTATTATTATTCATCACTTTCCAGAGTTTTGTTTGATAATTTGTGTCTTAGGATTTTGATTTACTTAGTTTAATTCATGACTCTTTAGACAATTATCAATAATTAGATATTGTGTTTTTTGCTTTGTTGTCAACTCGGTATCTTCTAGTTGTGTTCATTACAAGTTTTCCGAGACAGTTTTACTGATAAGTTCTTATTTTATTGAGTTAGTTTCGCAATTAATCCATAACTAGAAATACCTGTGTTTGTTGCCTCTATAGATAATGTCTGAAGATTATTCATTGAACTGGCTACTTCTAAGCTTACACTTGTAATATTTTCTTCTGCTTCAAGATTTCTCTCTCCCTGTTTAGTATTTTCCCCACTACTTACTCAAATACTTACTAATTTTACACTGTCACCATTGCCACTAAATTCCTCTTCGCCTGGAACATATTCACTGCCACTTGATTCAAATAAATATGATGCAGGTGAATGTAGAACCCAATCATCATGAGACATTTGTTGAGTGTCAACTAAAAAGTACTAGTATTAGAACTTAAGATATTAAAACTTATGTATTAAGACTTGAATAATTCATGCTTTCACACTAATAAAAAATAATTACCTTGTATCTTATTTTCAATGTTAATATTTGAAGAACTCAAATCTTCTTCATTCATGGATTTTGGCACCATTTTCACCCCTTTTGGCACTCCTTCACTGGAAATATATTCAATGCCACTTGATGCATACATATGTGTCATTGGTAAATCAGAAATTTGTTCTTTGTCAGGTATATATCAATACATTTTTGGCAAAGTAATGTAAGTCACCAAAAACTATTTGTAGAAAAAACAATTTTTTAATTCAACCTGGTTAAACTTATTAAATTATGACTGAAAAAACTTGTCCTACTTGTCCTGAAAAAGGTTTAAATTAATTCTAGGCTTACTATACTTTGGCAGAACCTTTTTAACAATAATAGTGTTAGTTTAATTGAAAAACATGATTTTCACCAAAAATGTCACTTAAGTTACTTTGCCAAAAATGTATCGATATGTTGAGTATCAACTAAAAATTAAATTTTGTTATGTACAATAATTACTTTTGTTTATTTTCAATAATAATTAAAAAAATATGCACCTTCTATTTCAGTGCCATTACTGGTATTTGAAGAATAATTTAAATCAGTATATTGTGCTTGCATCTTTTCAACCAACCTTTTATTGTTCCTCAACACTCGACTGAATTCAGTAGAGAAATGACGCAAATAGCATATTACTTATCTATAGTATCCTACAGTATATTACATATCTATGCGCGAATATTTCTGTTGTGTTGTGTTTAACTTAACATTTAGTACGACCTTAAGACATCAGGTGATTGAAGGAGGAAGCAGTGTTGTAATTTGCGATGTGTAATAAACTAGGTAGCTTGTAGCATTTCCAAATTCTTTGAAGTATATATTGAAATATATTGTAATCCTCTCGTATAAGTTTTAAATTGAAATCCCGTCATATATGAATTAAAATAACAAAGATTGTTTTCTATGTTTCTCAGTTCCTATCTTACAAGATAAAATACGCAAAAAGTATTTTCAATTCCTTTTTAGCGTCGCCAAGTAATATAAACCATCTTAGAGTTGTTTATTTATTTAGCAGCTGTGTATTTTCCTCGATATTTCTTTGATCGTTAAGCCGCCCGATACTGCGTTTTCAAATTAATAATCGCGTTTCAATTCTTGTAAAGTATCTTGTTTATGCCACGTTTTTTGCCGGCAATATAATTGCTCATTCTCACTTGGGTTGCTGTAAGTAGGCTTAGGTTTGAATCCAAATTTTTCATCAAATTTGTAATGTTCTTTTGTTCTTCGTCCTACGTTATGGAATATAAGTTTAGTAGCGGTTAATAGTAACAATTTAATGGTAATTGCAGTCCAATTCTACTTGTCCCAGTTTTTTTAAGAAGAAAAGTTCCAAGTTTTGTGTTCATTGCCGGCTTCGGCCTCAAATGGTCGGTTCAGTTTGCAGTGTAAGATGCAGTCCTTCTGTTTGACCCCAGTTATAGTTCCAGAATTTTAGTGTAAAACCCCAGTGCAGTCCAGGTAACTTTTTGTGTCTAAGTTTCAAAGTAAAGTAGATATTGTTTTTTAAATAACAATAATTGCTTTCATAACAATTAAATAATTGTAATATTTAAATTTGTAAATTTTAGGGGTTAACTTTAGCTGTCATTTTAATTGTTGTTTTAAATTTAATGTTAACTTATGACAGCTGGTTTTAGTATTTTTGATATTAATTTGTTTTGTTTTAAAAAAGGTTAACCTCCATGTAATAATAGTTTTGAAAGTTTGTTGTAGCAATTCTCCATTGTAAATAGATAGGACACATGTAAGCTTTTCTCTGTATTTTTGTACATTGTCACTATTCATATAGTATTTTTGTATTGTATTATTTTTATAACTGTTTGTGGTAAGACACAATAAATGTTAATTTTTTTTAACATTTTGTTTATTTTTTCAACAAACCTTTTTTTGAGTCTCATTTGAAAAAAATGTGTTTTGCATTTCTAATAATTATTTCCATAGTTGCAACTAGTGTAATAGTTATAATTAGGCACCTCGAAGCGGCGTCCTTTTTAAATTAGTAGATTTGTTTCCTTTCTGTGTTTTGTTTTTATTTGTCCCAAGATATTCATGACCCTTTGTTTCATTATTTTTGTAGTTGCCCCAATCCAAACCCCATGCCATTTACTTATCTATGACTCCAGCTCTCCTAACAAACCCAGACTGCTGTTCGCATATGTTTCGATTTATTTTGCTTGTCCTATCTCCACCCTCATAATTTCTGCCCCCACCTTTCAGCCCCCATAGTAATAACCCATGTGGTAGGCAAAATAATTTCGTTACAAGCTTATGAATGGAAAATGGCGTTATGTGCCCATGACTCCTTATTCCAGTATATATTAATAATTATACCGTACTTAACACCTTATGCGTTTGTGTATTGCTGTTAATATGCAACATACAGTTAAAGCAATAACCATTTATGATAAATAGGTGGAAAAAGCCATGGAAGTCATGGAAAGTCATGGAAAAGCCATAAAATTACTACCGATACAAAAATGAGACTAGTAAGAAGTCTAGTTTTTCCAGTTTTTACTTATGCATCGGAATGCTGGACCCTTACTGAGAAAGACAAAAAGAACATAGATGTATTTGAGATGTACTGCTGGAGACGAATGCTGAGAATACCATGGGTGGCCCGAAGAACAAATGAATCCATACTGGTCCAGCTAAACATAAAGAAAAGACTAAGAACACAAATAACAGAACAGATAATAAGCTATTTTGGACATGTGCTTCGAAGAAATGGTCTTGAAAAACTTACCATCTAGGGAAAAGTAGAAGGCAAAAGAAGTAGAGGTAGATCTCCTACACGATACACGGACCATATTGTTGCTACCATTGGCGCTCCATTGTCAGAATGTGCTAGATTGGCAGAAGATAGAAAAACGTGGAGGAACATTGGAAAAATTACCTAACAGCTTCATGATATCACGATACCTGCATCAGGTTAACGACTAAGAAGAAGAAGAAGAAGATAAATAGGTACTTAAAACATTCTTGCATGACAAAACTAAGTTTAAAATAAACGTTACATAATACCTTCTTCCACTTGGCTCTTCATTTAATAGTTTGATTTAACTTGTTTGAAAATGAATCAAGCCGCATGGGAAAATATAGAGTGTACATACAATATGAAGTTTTGCGCTAGTCTTTTGTTCCACTTACTGTATCATCTTTGTTTGTTTATTTTGTTGTGTTTATTATTACATTTGTTCTGGATTTTGGTAGTGTTTATGTGCATTATGTAGTTTTTTGCATTTTTTATAGTTGAATTTTAATTTTAGGTTTTTGTGAAAAGGATAGTAAAATGGAAATAGCGAAAACAATAACTAAGTATTCATGTAATAAACAAGTGAAACAGGACTGTCAAGAACAAACATTAAATAATTTTTCCTCTACAAATGTTTCGTGCCAAAATAATGTAGTGGAAAAGACTGAAAAAAGACTTAGCAAATGTGAAATTTGTTTTAAGCTGTTTTCTCTTCCAGGTAATCTGAAAATGCATTTAAGAACACACACTGGAGAAAAGCCATACAAGTGTGAAATTTGTTCTAAGATGTTTTCTCGTCAAGATAATCTAAAAAGTCATTTAGAAACACACCTTGAAAAAAAACCTTATAATTGTGAAATTTGTTTTAAGCAGTTAACTTCAGTAAATTATTTAAAATCACATCTAATAACACACTCTAAAGAAAAACCTCACAAGTGTGAAATTTGTTTTAAGCCATACTTCCATAAAAATGCTTTAAAGGTACACATGACCACACACTCAGGGGAAAAACCTTATAACTGTGAAATTTGTTTTAAGCAGTTTACTTCATTAGTTTATTTGAAAGCACATCAGAAAACACACTCACAAGAAAAACCTTATACATGTGAAATCTGTTTTAATTCATTTTCTCGTAAAGGTAATTTAAATGTACATATGAGATCACATACTAGAGAAAAACCTTATAAGTGTGAAATTTGTTTTAAACAGTTTTCATATCACAATAATTTGAAAGAACATTTAAAAACACACTCTGGAGAAAAACCGTATAAGTGTGACATTTGTTTTAAGCAGTTTATTTCATTACATTATTTGAATTCACATATGATAACACACTCTAAACAAAAAATTTACAAGTGTGAATTTTGTTTTAAGCCATTTTCTCATAAATCTAATTTAAATGTACACATGATAAGACACTCAGAAAAACCATTCAAGTGTGAAATTTGTTTTAAGCCATTTTTCCAAAAAAATAATTTAAATGTACATATGAGAACACATTCTGGAGAAAAACCTTATAAGTGTGAAATCTGCTTTAAGCATTTTTCTGTGGCATATAATTTGAAAATACATCTAAGAATGCACACTGGAGAAACGCCATACAAGTGTGAAATTTGCTCCAAGCAGTTTGTTAGAAATAGTAACTTACTTTCTCATATGAGAGTGCATACGAAAGAAAAGCCATACAATTGCGAAATTTGTTTTAAACAGTTTTCTAGTCAACATCTGTTGAAAGTACATTTAAGGACTCACTCTGGAGAAAAACCTTATAAGTGTGAAATTTGTTACAAGCGATTTACTTCAGTAATCTATTTGAAAACACATCACATAACACACTCTAAAGAAAAACCTTACAAGTGTGAAAAGTGTTTTAAGCCATTTTCTCAAAAAAGTAGTTTGAATGTACATATTATGAGAATACATTCTAGAGAAAAACTTTAATGTGTGAAATTTATATCTAAGAACACACATTGGAGAAAAACCTTACAATTGGCAAATTTTTTAATAGGTTTATTGCAGTAAATAATTTCAAAGCGTTTTGGCGTAGTATACTATTTGAAACAAATTTGATAAAATCCTTACATTTCATAAAATAATATGGCTAGTGTTCAATTTTTCACATGCGAAAAATTATGTCATTCATATTAGTTACTATCATTCTACCACAATTTTACAATCATTACCGTACTCCAACCTTTTTTATTCCCACTTCAACTCCACTCCTTTAGAAATACAGGCAGTTGTAAGATAGCAAACGACAAAGACTCTCTCTTCCCTGTCGACTATCGCGAGCAACAGACATATTATTCTCTTGTCTGTTGACTATTCTGCCCTGCTTAGTAAAAACGTCCGATCTACAATTTTCGTTTTTTCTATATAAATTTATATTCCACTACTATTAGACATTTACCATCTTATTACTTAGAACGTCCTTTCTGCCACCTTAAATCGTACAAAAGCATAAATTTGTTTGTCCTTTCTACAACTAACAGCTGTTGTGCTTAGAATAAACATCCTATATGCCAATTACTTAGTTAAAGCGTTCTGTCTGCATCAAATTGTGAAGATAGGACTTTTTAGTTAAGTAAGTCATGTTAAAATCATTGAACTGGTGAAATTAATATTTCACCAGTTAAAGTGAAGTGAAAGTAAAACCGCTAAAGACAGCTAAATTGTGTGTGTGCAGCACAGGATGGGTAAGACTTTTTATAAACTTCATTTGCTATTATCTGTATAACCCCTTACTACTTATCCTAATTTGTTTGATCCAGCCCTATGTTCAGTCTTCATACACTGAAATTATATACATGATTTCACATATGTACACCCCTTTTTATACAGATAGTAATAACTGAATTAACTGAACTAAGCTATCTGCTTGCTGTTTTTAATGAGATTTAGTAACATAGCCATTCAAAATTGAATACAACGATTTTAGTAACTAAAACGTTGTCCATATAATTTCTGTAATATTTATTTAAAATAATAATAGTTAGTGGGAACATAAATTATTTCTCAGTGAATTTTCTTTTAGGAATAAGGATAATTCTAAATACATGTAAGGGAGGGTGAGCCACTATGAGACCAAATTCAATTTTTAATTTTTTTTTATTTTTTGTTAGTGGACAGATTTCTTTAAAATATAGTATTCTAGAAACGTTGGCGTTTTCTGTACGTTTTGCATTGAAATTGATTATCTGTGATTGATTTCAATCAGTTTCATAAAGGTTTTTAAAAATCATTGCAAGTGTCTCATTGTGGCCAAGCATGTGCCACAACGAGACATCTTATGGGCCACACTGAGACATGGTAACAAAAACACAAACACAGCGTTTTATAAGCAATTTATTATATATCTACAAAAAAACACAGTTATACATATACTTATCTAACAGAAAATACAACAGTGAAGATAACGTAGAAGTAAGCTTTCTAAGAAAAATATATGAAATGAGAATATTTGAGAAAAATAAATCCAAGTTTACAGAAAATTTGTGGAATGAACAAAGCCTGACTGTTACCCAAAGGTAAAGGCTTTGGCAAAATCATTTTGATATCAGAAAATCTCACCATTAAGATATCTAATATGATAGGAAAATAAAAATATTCTGAATTTTTTAAACTTTTCCTTAAAAAAATTAGATCTACATCACCATTTGTGTCCTTTGTTGAAATTACTTTGCCTATGTAATAAATATCTCTCAAGTCTTTAGTCTCAAACCTAACAAGGACAAAATTTTGTCCTTCATCGCTGCTCTCACTTGAAACGTAGTGTTATGTCTGATTGCCCTTTTTTGCACTTTGAGAACAGAGCTTTGACATGTCTCTTTGTCCCAGGATTTTTATAAAAACTGCGTTTTTCGAGTCTTTCCTCTATTTTATCCTTTTCAGTAGTGTCAGTGACGATACCGCTTGAAAGCTTGCAATTTTCTTTCGCCTGCCGTTGGAAAACCTTTAAAATGTGGGGACTGACAAATTTTTGAATTGATTGGCAGCTTATAGAGCTTGGAATAGATTAAGTGTTGATTTGCGGTTCATCAGCTTCCTCTTGAATAGCGCCAGACAAATGTGTGCAGCTAACAACAGGACCTGTGGACGTTGATGGTTCTCCTTCTTCTTCGTGAATAATTCTGAGTGGGTTGTTGTTAAGATCTTCTGTGAAAATGTCACTATCATATGCAAAAATTCCACATTTTTTAAAACCAGTTTTGATATTAGCCGGTGTCAGCGCTTTTTCATGAACAACTCCAACACACTGCAAACTGCTAAATTAATAATGGTGTACCTGAGTGGTGTAAAAGCCATGAATCAACAGCAGCATTATAATGTGCCTTAATGGCTGATAAACAGCCACATCAAGTGGTTGCAGTTTGTTACTTCAGTGAGAAGGTAATGTAACAATAATCACTCCATTTTCTTTGGCAAGGTCACAGAATAATAAACAAACAGAATGCCCACTCTCCACGGAAAATTAAGTACGCGCATCTCCTTCGCGCAGACGTTCCGCCATGTTTTACGAGGATTTTAAAGGGAACCAGTGTTGTTTCATGATATAAGGATACCAGATATGATATTGCCACGCACAAAACTCGTACACTCACGCGCATGACGTCACCTTGTGCTAAATTTTCAAAATTCATGCTTGCGGATGAAACGGACTGTTGAAATTCTAATATAATTTACTAGATGTTTACGTGAATTTAAGCTTAAGTATTTAAATTAGTATATTGTAAAAAATAACAATTTTCCCATACGAGTGAAGTTTGATGGAGGGAGCCATGGCCGAATGCCACAAATTGCAAACTATGGAATGTAATTTTCATACAATATATATTTTATATATAGTAGTTAGGTATTATTGACTGACACGTTAGGTAAACTATTTCTTTTGAGGTGTCAGTCATTAATAGGGCAGAATAAGTAAAACTGTTCTTTTATTTAGCTTTCACAAAAATTTATTAATAGCTTCTTCAGTATATGCTAAAATATGATTATAATTATTTAATCTTCTACCTACACACACACACACATATATATATATATATATATATATATATATATATATATATATATATATATATGTATATATATATATATATATATATATATATATATATATGTATATATATGTATATATATATATATATATATATATATATATATATATATATATATATATATATATATATATATATATATTTACGGCCAGCTATCAAAGTGAGACCTCACCGACTACCGTACCAAATGAGGACACCATTAAATCGACGTAATACGTGAGCCGCATTTAGATTTATATAATGTTTGAATAATATCGAAAGTGTTTTTCACCAATATACTCCGAAAATATTATTAAGGAAAAAGTTTTTTTTTGGAATATATTGTTACCATGTGAGGACCAACTAAACAACTATCAAAGAGAGGACCGCATGAGTTTTTACCTGAAATGTAACCAAGTGAAGTCCTTGTTGGATATACAGCGCGCTAAGTGAGACCCACCAAATAATGTAAGAGGGGTAAATCTATTTTTAGAACAACTACATAATATTGAGATATTATATTCGTGTTATCGTGTTTTTACGTGTTTTTAATGTGAAGTTACAGTTGAAACAATTTTTAAATAAAATAAGAAGTCTGAGGCGACTTAGATTGGCAGGTAAGTTGTTTCTATTTTATTAGAGTATTTTTTATTTATTCTTTTTATAAAAATTAATCTTTTTCTTTTAAAGGATGTGTTTTGAATTTCTCTAAAAAATTAAACTACAGGTAATTGTAGCTCTAAATTTGATGGGTGGTGGTGGTGCAGTTGATTTTAATTCTAAATGGGATCAAGTAGCTTTATTAGGTTGTACTTCCATTTTTGATTTGGCCTGCCTCGTCTTTTCTTCGTTGATCCTCCCATTTCCTTTGTCTGTTTTCGTGTCTTTTGTTTTCGTATTTTTGTGAATAATCCAGTTCTTGCTTGCATATATGTATTATTGTTGTTAATGTTGTATATTATTATCTCATTTTAAAGTAATCCCCGATGAAAAACCGAATAAGTTATTATATCTCTGAAAAAAATAATTGAAAGAAAAACAACTATTGTTTGTTATAAATTCTTCAATATTGATGATTTGTTTCATTTAATATTGGTTAATGACTCTTATACTCACTGAAATAATCTAAAAAAAAATTGTGATAGGCTGAACTGGCCATTTTGATGATTTTGAAAGTAAGCACGTCTTATTTGTTGAATTGGGAATCCTATTAGAAATAAAAAAAAAATAGTGGGTATTAATCAGCTGTGCTGCTGTGCAGTCATAATTAGTTGTAATTGTATAGATCATATACACAAACGAGAAAAAACTTATTTTTAACCTTAAAAAATAAAATAGTTTTGTGTGTTGCGTAAAAAGGAATTAATTTTTTTGATATAACCGAAAACTGGAGCTGTGCCAACACTTCTTCCATATTTCATCTACTGTCCATGTCCATCGTCTGTCCTCCTTTCCCCTTCTTTGGAATTCTTTAGTCATCATTTTTGTTATGTTTCTTGAATTTCTTTTATTTGGACGTAATACCAAATTATATTTATACTATACGTATATTATATCGTAAATAAAATCCCTAAACATGTCGGTTTTTATTTTTAAATTGCAGTTAGAACAGTTGGCCATTTTTATGGGCCACACATCTGATATCCATAAAACTTATTATAGACTTCCAAACGATGTTTATCAAATTACTAAAATATCCAAATTGCTTCTTCTAAATGAGACTGGAGAAGCGTCAAAGTTTAAAGGGAAACGTTTGGATGAAATCAATATGATCAATATAAACTTAGATCCTGTTGAAGATGAATCAAATGATGAAATAGAAGAGTCACACGAAATAATGAGCGACATGCTTACAGCAACTAAATATGATGGCCAAGTGAAAGTAAGTATACCTATTGTCTAATTTGTAGTTTTTATAATAATGAAAGACTTGAATTTTGTGTAAGTATTAAAAAATAACCTGTCAAATATCACACAATAGTAAGAATAAATAAGAAAACAATGCTCCAATTTTTGTTCTTAAACTTGTTTCCATGCGATGGCAATAGTCACTCGAGCCTTCCAGGCTCACGTGACTATTGCCAGGCAACAAGTTTCCGAAAAATTGTTGCAATAATGTCAATTTATTCTCACCCTCTAGTGATATTAACGCCGAAAATAGTGCTTGTTTCACACACTTTAAACGTTTTTTAGCTATGTACAGTGAGGACGTTTGAGTTGGAATACATTCATTTTCTTGGAAATGGGGGACCCTAGAAATAAATCCCGAAAAAGATCGATTTTTTATTTTTAAATTATAATTTTTTGGCATATATATCATACTAGTGAGCCATCCATCAGGGCGTGATGACTTAATCGATGATTTTTTAAAATAAGAATAGGGGTCGTGTGCTAGCTCATTCGAAAGGTTATTAAATTCTCTATTCACTAGTATAAACATTAAGATAATTATCTATAAAGTGTACCCAAAAGAAACTTTTTTTTAATTAAATTATTTGAGGCAAAAAGAAGAATGTATGTAATTTGTTTAATGCAAAATACATTTTACTGCTGTCAGAAAACAGAAAAAAATGGTAATTTGAAAAATAAACATTGCGTTACGCTTAAATTAAATATTCAAAGTACTAAAGAGCCAGGTCAGTGACACATTTATTATTGAATATAAACGAAGAACAATATATATTTATCAAATTAAAATTTTATTTTCTTTCCGGAGAGCATTAAAATGTATTTCGAATTAATTAAATTACATACATTCTTCCTTTTTTTCCCAATTAATTTAATGCAAAAAAAGGTTGGGCAGGCACTCTGTATAAAGAATTATGTCAATGTTTATATTAGTGAAGAGAGCATTGAATAAACTTTCGAATGAGCTATGACACGATCGCTATTATCATTTAAAAAAATCATCGATTACGTCATCACGCTCAGATGGATGACGTCACTAGTATGATATATATGCCAATAAATTATAATTTAAAAACAAAAATCGACTTGTTTCGGGATTTATCTCCAGAGTCGCCCATTCTCGAGAAAATTAATTTATTCCAACTCAAACGTCCTCACTATATTAATGCTTTGGAACTTTCTTTTTGAGGTTAGTTTGGTATATTGGAAT